GTGGGAAGATCGGCTGTGCCGGAGACGCCCTAGATGAGATGTTTGCTCGTCCTTGGGAGGAAGGGAGCTCTAGCCTTCTCCAGCGCGAGCCAAAAAAAAGTTCCGAAAGACAAATGGCGCGGTGCAAAGCGAACGTCTTTGTAGCCCGCACGAGGTGCATTTCCAGGGAGAGCCCAGCTATCAAAAGTGCTCGTGCATTCTGCTTTTGGCTCTTCAGGTGTCACGAAGCAGCCTTAAGGAAACGAACTCCAGAGAGGGAAAGGTGTGCGCGATAGATGGTCACTTTGCACGGCTAAATCGAGGCTTAGCTTTTCTTGGGGATGAAAGTTGTAATTAAGAAAGTCTACATTGCCACTCTGAAGGGACCGATTAGAGGAAAGCGTAAACTAAGCACCAGGCTGGGTTCTAATTCTATCCCTGATAATTGATGTCCCTGTTGTAAAGTCACTTAAACTCCTCTTGATCTGATTTCACTTAGATGCTGTACAAATGTGTTAGTCAGTCAACCGTACATAACCAATATTTTAAAATTTTAGTGTGTGTTGAAAGGGGAAAATTAATAAAATCTAAAACCCAGACTCCAAAGCCCAAAAAGAAAACTCAGTTCCCAAAAAGCAGTCCAGCAGACAAGGTTAAACAAAGGGCCTCAGGACTCAAGCCCTTAGACCAGATATCACACCCTAGAATGGCACTCACATTCCTCTGGTCCAAAGAGGATCAGATAGTTATCAATTGTAGAAGTCCCCAGCCCAGGAGACTATTAACAAACCCATTTCCTCTGCAGTATCCTGCTTAATTAAACCTTGCATGAAGCATAACAATCTTTGTCCTGTCCTGTGTAACTACTGAAGTTATGTAATCTTGGGGCTTCCAGCCCTACAATTTTCCCTTTTAAAAACACCCCTCAGTCGAAAGTGGGTACTCCTTTGTTCCCAAACGAATGGGGTCCTTGCTGCAGCTGGTGTCCTTGAGTCAATAAAGAAACCTTTATCCTTGCATTTGGTGAGTCGTCTTCTTGTTGGCAGGTTCTTTGGGGATTCCGAAATCTGGGCACAAATGTGTGTGTGTGTGTGTGTGTGTGTGTGTGTGTGTGTGTGTGTGTGTGTGTGTGTGATACTGCTGTGGAAGTCACAGGACAGCATTCAGAAGTCAATTCTCTCTTTCCACCCAGGGACTGCAAGAATGGCTGAATGTGTACAGCAAACACTTTGACCTGCTAAGCTATCTCTTCAGCCTCTCCCTGTGTTTGCAGCTGGTTTCTGGGTTGTCTTCATGAGACATTTTGTTACTGTCGGAGCTGTTCTTTGATTGCAGTCAAGCTCCATTGGACCACAGGGCCTTTGCCATTGTAGTGTGGGGGCAGAGAAGCATGCGATCTAGACAAGGGGTGCTTAATGACCAAGGGTTCTTAGAACCACACACTTGTGGCTCTTTCCTCAGATTCCAGGTTAGGACAGTTACAAATCGGGAGAGGCAGAATCATCCCTGGTCTCTTTCCGGTGCCTTTTGTCAATTTCTTCTTCAGTGTTATCTATTGATGTTGTTGCTTAGTTTCTCTGATGAGAGTTGGCAAATTATGGGTCTATAGCCAGATATTTTGGTAAACATCTTGCTTCCACACCATTAATATTTATGCTTCAGTAGCACAGCTGATTCCAGGAGGCACAGTAAACCTAAAATATTTATTATCTGGCGTTGGGCAGAAAGTTGGAAGATCCTGCTTTTCACCAACAAATGAAAATTCTCAAGGTTATATGCCTGTATTACCAAACCGATTTCTTTGATATACCTCACTGCCATAATGTTCACTTCTAGCTAACTTTTAAATGGAATTCTTCTATTCTTTTGAACCTAACATCTTGTACCAAGAGTTAACAAACACATCAAGCTAGACTTTGGAAAGAATGGCTGTGTTATTTCCTCCCTCTTTCCTGTTATTGTCATTTCAATCAAGAACATGCAGATATTTTTCCAACTCAATTAATCATGTAATGACAATTTTCTCATGCATGAATATGATAGAAAATAATGATCTTTATTTTAGCATATGCACCAGAAAACTAAATTAAAATCACAAATGGTGTCAAGCAAGCAATGAATTGAAACAAATTCATAGCAGACTTTTAGAACACAAATAAGCAATTCAGAATTTTAATTTGACAGCTATTTGTAGGGATTATTGATCTTCATTTTTCATGTATTCAACGTCTGAGCTCTTCCTGTGTTTCTCAGGAATTCTCTATACGTTTGGGTGGAAGAAAAAGCTCGGTGTGTCAAGCATCCGTTGGGGAGGGGCATTCTTGCAATGACAGTCTTGGGTTGTGTTTAAGACTACTCTAGACTTTTACTTGGTGCTAGTGTTGCAAACAACAGGACATACAACCAACCTATTCTACTATGCACATTAGACTGGCAACAGCAAGTTTACAATATGATTTTAGGCTACACAGGATAGATAGTTCATGCAAAAGTTCTTGTTATCAGTCATGACTCTAATTTTGTCCTTGTAGATCTGTCTTTACCCAGGAGCTAGACACGTTTCCATGATACATAGCTTGTTTTATCTGATGATGTTAACCAATCTCATGTGCTTCTTAAACTGTCCATACATTCTTCTTGGGGCTTCTACAGAACAAATAAACTTCATTCATAGGAGTCCTTAGCATATCGTTCTTGTTTCAATGTTTGATATGTGGCAAATGCCCATTTCTGAACCAGTCCCTTTCTTATGTTCAAGGATCTCTGCAGAGTTTAACCTAGCAATAAGGGTTTGTCTACACAAACCATATGGCTGCTTTAAACAGTGAATAGATGAATTCTAAAGAAAATCAAAGTACTTTCTGTTGGAAATAAAAGGAAACAGGCTGAGGAAGCAACCAACAAGTATCTACTATTATCTAAGGTATATTTAAAACTAATGCAATGTAGGTCTGTGCTGGCTAGTTTTATGTCAACTTGACACAAGCTAAAGTCATCTGAGAGGAGGGAACCTAAATTAGGAAAGTTCTTCCATAATGTGAGGCTATAGGCAAGCCTATAAGACATTTTAATCAATGATTGAGGTGGGATGATCCAGCCCATTGTAAGTATTGTCATCCTTTGGCTGGTGGTCCTAGATTCTATAAAAAAGCAGGCTGAGGAAGCCATGGGGAGCACTCCTCCATGTGCTCTGCATCAGCTCCTGCCTCCAGGTTCCTGCCCTATTTGAGTTCCTGGCCTGACGTCTTTCAATAATGAACAATGATGTGGAATTGTAAGCCAGATAAACCCTTTCTATTCCAAGTTGCATTTGGTTATGGTGTTTCATCACAGCAATAGTACCCTGAACTAGGACAAGGTCTAAGAGTTAAATAGTTAGTCAATTTAGTAATACTGAGTTGAATCATAACCTGTGTACACGTGCATGTCCATGTATCTGTACTATTGCTAGATTACTTTTTCTTTCATATTTACTATGGTTCAGGTTTTGTACATAAACAGAGCTTAGCTCTAGTCTGGAAATAATATAGCATTCAATTTCTAGCCTCTTATTGGACAGCACCGTTATCACCACTGGACATTATTGTTGGAATATCAAGCAATATCTAGCACATTTTCGTTGGGATTATAAGAGCTATCATTGGAGATTCAAACCTACAGACTTTCAGAACAAGAGAATTAGCCACAGTCACTGCTGACTCAGGACACAGAGAAGTGTTCCTCCGGTATCTAGGGTGGTAGTTCTCAACTTTCCCAATCCTACAACCCTTTGACACAGTTCCTCAGGTTGTGGTGACCCTGATGATAAAATTATCTTATAAAGTTGCT